CGCCTCTCATGCTCTATAGTCCGCTGAAGCAGTCTACATGCTATACAACCCATCATCTACTTGGCAACCCAACAGCGTCGATCAAACAGTGCTATGGTCCCAACAATGACTATGACTCTGCGCATTACAGTCCCACAGTCATATAGTCTTCCACAGTCATACAAGGGGGGTAGCTGGGAGGTTGTACAGAGTCATCCGTGGACAGTCTCAACAATAAATACCCTCGCACTGAGATCGTTGACTGGTAGAGACATCCGCGACGATATCAGTAACGTAGATCTAGTTCCACAACACGAGCCGCAAACATGGCCGTGCTAATGCACCATCGAACGAGATCTCATATATGTTGGGCCTCGATCCTTGGCGATCATCAAGTAGTTCCAGATGTGAGCACAATCTATGAGTCTACGTCCCACGAATCATCGTAAGGACACACACACACGGTTTAGGGGGGGGGTATAGGGGGGTGGTGGGAATAACATAACTCTTCTATATAGCAATTTTTGGAACACAATGATACAAGGAGTAGGGAGCTTGAAAATAGACTTATTAACAGCCACCGTCTTCGAGCAATGCGCCAAAACAACGTAGAAAATCACTCACGAGTCGCCACGAGGGACACATCTGGCTACGATGTGAGTGGCCTCGCCGGTGCGCGCAGAGAGTGGACTCACAACGTGCTCAGAGAGCAATGCATTAGCTAGAGTGTGAGTCCGAGCTACAATCACAGTTCTGTATTCAGTTCTCTAGAATCGTGACACCGTGCACACACACAATGGCTCTGGGGCACAATGGGCGGCCACTGTATCTAATAGATGATATCTCCAACTACGTCTATGTGTATGCTTTTATCTCTAGCGAGGCTCTAGAAGAACAAGAGGTATAGTACAACCAATGAGAGCTTATAGTTGCGAGTCGGTGAGAGCGACGTGGTGCGGTGTGTAGGCCACTCAAGGTGACCTAAGACACGCACGGAGACTGTGGCGCGAGACAGCATGGGGGAGGCGTTGAGTAAAGGGGGGAGCGATGGGGTGTGAGTGTGTGTGGGGGTAGGTAGGATTGAGAGCAGCGACCATTGCCACTTACACAAGGGAAATGCTGTATGATTGCACGGGGGTGAGGGGGGGGTGGGGGGGGGGGGAGGAATATATCACTAGAGTACGTTAAATACACTCATATATATCTACATGTCGAATCTAGTAAGGAGGGACAGAATGCGATAGAAAGAATGAGAGTATGTGATAAGAGTGGTGCATGACAACACTACACATACAAGAATCAAGTAAAGATATGCACGCACGAGTCGCTGGAGCGAGAGAGATAGACAATAATGCCATTAGTTAAATAAAAGGGACATACACAAGGAGGTTGGGTGGCGAGGGGGGAGTTAATTAAATATAGTTGGGTGATTTTTGGGTATTGGGGGAGATGGTAGAGGGGTCTTTACTATGTCATCTCTAGAGGGGGGTGGAAGAGTGGGGAAAATGTAATGGGGTAGGTGTATATATGTACGGGCGGAGAGGATTGGGGTTTCAGAGAGCTGTGGTGAGAGCTAGGTCTGTAGATTTAAGAAGAGAGTAGACGGGGTTGTTGAAGGAAATATGAGGGTAGTAGTGTAGCGGAGTGGAGGGTAGGACTCCCATGGTTGAGGGTGGTTAGCGAGTGAGTGAGGCGGGGAGAGGGTTGGGTGGTCTTGAGTGATAGTACATGAATAAATAAATAGTTTCATGAGAATAATATGGTATATGAGTAGAGTTTTGGGTTGTCTTTTCGGGTAAAGATCTATATTGGAGAGTTGTTTATGGGTGAGTTTTGGGGGGGGTGGGAGGAGCGGGAGTGGTTACACAGTGGTGAGAACACTAGGCGTATTGAGAAGTGGAGGCGGAGCACGTTATAGAGACAAGTTTATGGGGAGAGTGGGTTTGGTGTATTTGTGTTGCGTATGATTATTGAGTCAATAGGAAGAGGGTATGTGGATTTAAGAGCTAGTAGTATGGTGAACATGGTGAGGTGCAGGTAGGGAAAATAATAATAATATTGTTTGTATGAGAGTGTACACACATTATAGGGGTATTTGAGGGGACTGAATGATTGTCATGGGGGGTGAGAGTTTTTGGAGAGTGTGTAGTGCAGTGATATAAGTAGTGAATTGTGGTGTGAGTGGTGTGTTAGTGGGTTGTAGGGGAAAATTTGTGGGGGGTATGTTTGGATGAAGGGGTTTTAAGTATGTAGGTTATATTTTTTTTGGGATTTTTTCTTATTTTTTTATTTTTTTTTTTTTTTTCTTTTTTTTTTTTTTTTATATTATTTTAAGATATTTTATGTTGATAATGTAGTTGTATTTATAAGGGTGTGTTGGGGAATATGTTTGCTGTATGGTGGGGGTGGTTGACAATCATGGTTACGCCAATAATGTTCGAGGTGGAACTCCTGTTGTCCGACGAGAGAAACACAGCTGAACAAATAACTTAATAAATAGCCAATTATATTTTTCAATCTACCTCACATAATACATGTAGAGGGTTATTATTTTTTGTCAGATGGGGCAAAAGAAACTACTTTTTTCAACCCAGTTAGAGAACGAGAGTTACGAGACGAGTCGGTGTCCTGTTGTTTCGACTCGCTTGATGCTGAGTGAGTGAGTCAAATCAGATGAACGATTCGTTCAGAGCTGAACGACTCGAAGGGGAGCAGGAAGGGGCTGATCCAGAACCACAGTGAGTCGTTCACTGCTCGTACGGCTCGTACGGCGCGGGCAGGCAGGAAGGAGGACGTTACGGTGAAGTAGATGGTTGTAAACAATAAGCTTTTGGTTTCTGTGCTCAAACGAGCTACAGTACACACACACACAGTCACACACGTAATATTAGAGTGTCATTCATTGTGGCTAGTAGAAAACGCAGTCTGGGGGTCGCAGTTTAGAAAGTGGTGGGCGGACGAGTTAGTGAACGAGTTAATGGAGGCGGGGAATCACGACTCCCGAGTCAGTAAAGTGAATCTCGAGTTTTGAACGATTCGTTCACGAATCGCACATCACTAACTCAGACACTGTGAAGTCAATGGTGCTGACTGCTCTGTACAATCTGAATGGGACCTTTAGCAACAGCAGCCTGTGTAGCAGAGGAGGGCTGCATGTCCGAGGATACTGCTAGGCTATAGCTAATGCTAGCGCTAGCTCGAGACTCTGCTCACTCACTAACCCTGGATTCCAAAGCTACTACAATACTACACTTAACACAACTATCACTGCCCTCAGAGGAGGATCCAGGGTTTAAGTCGCTACGTTTTGCCGTTCTTGAGAAAATTGAACATTTATAAAACATGTGCGCAGGCATCAGATCTGATGCTCTAGACCCCAGAGGGTTAAAGCTGCTCTACCTGTTTTTTTTAAACAAATTGTCTGATTGACATTTTAACAAAAAACTATCTTATATTTTGAACTTTAAATGTAAACTCTTTTCAGGCCTGTAACAGTTTTGGCTCTCACAGTGAATGTCTCAGTGATGTAGAGTTTAAGATCAAAAGCTCTCAGGAGTTGAGACGTTGCTCTGGTGCAGAAGGGTCGGGCCAACAGCTCACACCTCATCATGGCCTGAACAGACTGGTTTGAGCACCTGCAGTCTCAGCCAATCACAGGCCATGTCTCTGTCACCTGGAATTTACCAGGAATCAAAACTTAAAACACAGTCTCTCCCTCCACAGAGCTGCAGCTGCTCTATCAGGCCCTCGCCCACAAGGTCATCTCTTCATCTGTAAAGGATTAGGGCACGGTCACATAGGTTTTTACAAACTAACTGGGCCAAGTGGCCCGGATCGGCGCCACAAGGGTGTGAAAACGGCCCGCGGTCACAAGAACGTGTGTGTGTGTGTGTTCTGGCGATTAAATAAAGACCTGGGTCTGAAGAGTTATTGCAAACACTGCGAGAGCGAGGGTCAGAACAGAGGGAGTTATTCCCGTAGGAAATGCTTTTCTTTGGCGACGTGTGTGAAAATTCCCGTCACAACAGAAGACGTAATGTGACGCACAATATCAAGTCCCCACCACCCACCCCACTGACCCCCCTCATCTGGGCTTTAGAGGTCACATAGCATCTAAAGCCCGGATCAAATCGCGAAGTGGGCGCAGGCACACTTTAACAGGACTTTGGGCTGTGCATGTGATCGCGGCCTTAGAGAGAGACCAGAGAGAGACTATAGACCAGAGAGAGACCAGAGAGAGACCAGAGGGAGACCTGGGAGAGACCAAAGAGAGACCAGAGAGAGACCAAAGCGAGGCCAATGAGTGACCAGAGAGAGATCAGAAAGAAAGACCAGAAAGAGACCAGAGAGAGGCCAGAGATAGACCAGAGAGAGACCAGAGAGAGGCCAGAGATAGACCAGAGAGAGACCAGAGAGAGGCCAGAGATAGACCAGAGAGAGACCAGAGAGAGGCCAGAGAGAGACCTGGGAGAGACCAGAGAGACCATAGAGAGACCAGGGAGTGACCAGAGAGAGACAAGAGAGAGACCAGCAAGAAACCACAGAGAGACCAGAGAGACCAGCTGTCGCCCTCAGGTTTGCAGGGGTTTGAACAATAGGAAGATAAAAAAAGAGACTAAGGGCCGTGACAGTGCGGCTCTCAGAGTGCAGCTCCAGATCAGAACCTCCTGCACCACAGCAGCAGAAGAAGAAGCAGCTTCAGAAGTTGGCAGCTCGAAATAGTACAGGTAGTGCTGGTCGTTGTAGTAGTAGTAGTAGGATTTGGGGGTAGTAGTAATAGCACCAGTAGTAGCAGTAGCAGCAGCAGCAGTAGCAGCAGTACCAGGAGTAGCAGTATCAGCAGTAGCAGCAGCAGCAGCAGCAGTAGTATCAGCAGTAGCAGCAGTAGTATCAGCAGTAGCAGCAGCAGCAGCAGTAGTATCAGCAGTAGCAGCAGTAGTATCAGCAGTAGCAGCAGCAGCAGCAGCATCAGCAGCAGTAGTATCAGCAGTAGCAGCAGTAGTATCAGCAGTAGCAGTAGGATGTCTTGCCCTCTGTCCTCCGCAGACCTGGCTTGTCCTCTGTGTGAGTCCATCTTCTCAGACCCGGTGACTCTGGGCTGTGGACACTCGTTCTGCTGGAGCTGCATTGTGGGAGCCCCCTCTCCTCTCTGTACCATGTGTCGCGCTCCTCTTCCTCCTGAGCGGGACTCTCTGGTCATCAACCATGTGCTGAAGAGCCTGTCGCTGAGGGCCAAAGAGCGCCCCCTAGCCCCCACTGAGGTCAGTACCAGCAACACACCACTCACAAGTACCAGCAAGACACCACTCATAAGACAAACCAGAGACGTCATAGCCTCATTCACACTGAACCAAAGCCTGGGCCTTCAACCTGCCTTGCGACCCAGTATTTTTGGCAAAGGGAAGCTGTTACATGTGGCTCTAACACTACACACATGTCTCTCTCTGGTCTCTCTGGTCTCTCTCTGGTCTCTCTCTGGTCTCTCTCTGGTCTCTCTCTGGTCTCTCTGGTCTCTCTCTGGTCTCTCTCTGGACTCTCTCTGGTCTCTCTCTGGTCTCTCTCTCTGGTCTCTCTCTGGTCTCTCTCTGGACTCTCTCTGGTCTCTCTCTAGACTCTCTCTGGACTCTCTGGTCTTATTCTAGTTCTCTCTGGTCCCTCTGGTCTTACTCTAGTCTCTCTCTGGTGTCACTCTCCGGCCTCTCTCTCTGGTCTCTCTCTCCGGTCTCTTTTCTCTAGTCTCTCTCTGGTCTCACTCTCTGGTCTCTCTCTGGTCTCTCTCTCTGGTCTCTCTCTCTGGTCTCTCTCTGGCCTCTCTCTGGTCTCTCTCTATAGTCTCTCTCTGGTCTCTCTCTGGTCTCTCTCTCTGGTCTCTCTCTCTGGTCTCTCTGGTCTCTCTCTCTGGTCCCTCTGGTCTTACTCTAGTCTCTCTCTGGTGTCCCTCTCCGGCCTCTCTCTCTGGTCTCTCTCTCCGGTCTCTTTTCTCTAGTCTCTCTCTGGTCTCACTCTCTGGTCTCTCTCTGATCTCTCTCTCTGGTCTATCTCTGGTCTCTCTCTGGCCTCTCTCTGGTCTTTCTCTCTGGTCTCTTTCTGGTCTCTCTCTGGTCTCTCTCTGGTCTCTCCCTGGTCTCTCTCTGGTCTCTTGCTGGGCTCTTTCTGGTCTCTCTCTCTGGTCTCTCTGGTTTCTGGCCTCTCTCACAGTTCTTTCCTGGTATCCAGCAGAAGCAGACCTTGTGTCCGGACCATGAAGAGCCTCTGAAGCTATTCTGTGTGACCGACCAGACTTTGGCTTGCATCATCTGTCGAGACGGAGAGGCACATGATGGACACAAGTTTAAACCAATCAGAGAAGCCGCTGCGTCTCTGAGGCGGGACCTCGACCTGGGCTTGGCCAATCAGGACTCAGAACTCCAGAAGATCCAGCAGCTGCATGAGGAGCAGAGCACAGAGCTGAGCAGAACCAAAGAGGGGTGTGGAGAGGAGAGGAGGAGGATCTACACACAGACCGAACGCTTGATCCAGGCCCTGCAGAAGAAAAGAGACCAGCTACTGCACCAAGTGAAGACCACAGAGGAAGACGCAGTGGAGAAGATGACACAGAGTTTGACAACCATGGAGCGAGCGAGAGCTGAGAGCGCAGAGGAGAGAGAGACCTGGACACATCTGCTACAGGTACAGAGACCAGAGAGAGACCAGAGAGAGACCTGAGAGAGACCAGGGAGAGACCAGAGAGAGACCAGAGAGAGACCAGAAAGAGACCTGAGAGAGAGACCTGGACACATCTGCTACAGGTACAGAGACCAGAGAGAGACCAGAGAGAGACCAGGGAGAGACCAGAGAGAGACCAGAGAGAGACCAGAGAAAGACCAGAGAGAGAGACCTGAGAGAGACCAGAGAGAGACCAGAGAAAGACCAGAGAGAGACCTGAGAGAGACCAGAGAGAGACCAGAGAAAGACCAGAGAGAGACCTGAGAGAGACCAAAGAAAGACCAGAGAGAGACCAGAGAGAGGCCAGAGAGCAGAAAGGGACCAGAGACCAGACATCAGAGAGAGAACAAAGAGAGACCAGAGCAAGACCAAAGATAAGAAAGAGACCAAACAGAGATCAGAGACAGACCAAAAACCAGTGAGAGACCAGAGAGAGACCAGAGAGAGACCAGAGAGTGTCCTGGGTCGTCCCCCGGTGGGACGTGCCCGGAACACCTCCCAAGGGAGGCTACTCCGAGCTCCTCCTGTGACTGAGCTCCTCACCCTATCTAAAGGAGCAGCCACGCTGCGGAGGAAGCTCATTTCGACGCTTGTATCCGCGATCTCGTTCTTTTAGTCATTACCCAAAGCTCATGACCATAGGTGAGTGAGGGAACGAAGATTGACCGAGAGCTTCGCCTTTCGGCTCAGCTCCCTCTTTATCACGACGGTCCGATACAGCGACCGCATCACTGCGCATGCTGCACCGAAATGCCTGTCAATATCACGCTCCATCATTCCTTCACTCGTGAACAAGACCCCGAGATACTTGAACTCCTCCACTTGAGGAAGGACTGCTCCACCTGGAGAGGTCCGGGACCTGAAGAGGGCAAGGCACCTTTTTCCGGTCGAGCACCATGGCCTCGGATTTGGAGGTGCTGATTCTCATCCCAGCCGCTTCACACTCGGCTGCAAACCGTCCCAGTGCATGCTGCAGGTCCTGGTTCGTTGGAGCCAACAGGACAACATCGTCAGCAAACAGCAGAGATGAAATCCTGTGGTCTCTGAACCGGACCCCTTCGACCCCCTGGCCGTACTGCCAGGAGGGGTCCGGTTCAAAGACACAGTGAACAGAACCGGTGACGAAGGGCAGCCCTGGCGGAGGCCAACATGCACCGGGAACAGGTCTGACTTACTGCTGATGCGAACACAGCTCTGGCTCTGGTCATACAGGGACCGGACGGCCCTCAGCAGAGGACCCCGGACCCCGTACTCCCGGAGATCCCCCCAAAGTACACCCCGGGGAACACGGTCGAACGCCTTCTCCAAATCCACAAAGCACATGTGGACAGGTTGTACTCTGCACTGCTGTTTGGCCCGTCGGCGGCCACAACAGTCAGAGACTTGTCCCCCCCTTGAAGGCGGAGGGTAGCGACCCTCTCATTTGCCGCCTCTCCCCGCGAGAAACACCAGAGAAATGAAGCGTCCAACCCCTCTCAAGGATCTGGGTTCTAGAGCCCAAGCTGTGTGTGGAGGTGAGGCCGACTATATCTAGTCGGAATCGCTCAACCTCCCCCACGAGCTCGGGCTCCTTCCCCCCGAGTGAGGTGACGTTCCACGTCCCAACAACCAGATGTTGTGTGTGTGACTGGGTCGCTGAGGTCTCCGCCTTCAACAGCCGTGCAGTCCTCTCACTGATGCCCGATGGGCTAAGGCCCAGCCCCCAGACGCTTGCATCCACGCCCCCAACCCAAGGTCTGGCTCCAGGGTGGGGCCTGGAGACAACATAGCTCCCAGGATCATCTGAGTAATTAAACTCCCCCACCACGTTAAGGTGGCAGTCCAGGGGAGAGTGATATTAATGTGTCTCTGTTTTGTCTCCACTGAAGGAAACCGAGCCGGAGAAGTTCCTCAGACTCTGGAGTGAGCGTCAGCGCGGCTCTGTCTCCACAGATGTGTTTTCTGTGCGCTCTGAGGGCCTCTCTGTGGTCCCTGCCCCTCTCCTGCTCGGGCCCCAGCACTCGCACCTGCAGTTCTTCATGTGGAAACAGCTCCTGCAGACGGTGGAGCCACGTCCGGACCTCCTAACTCTCCCAGACCAGAACCCCGACCTCACGGTGTCCGAAGATGGGAGGAGCTTCCACTGCACTCCCTTCAGTGGTAAACAATACAAAGGATCCTCATGGACTATGCATGGTGTGAACACAAGATATAATTTCACGACCTGCACAGTTCCTCAGACCCTCTCCCTGAGCAGCGTCCAGAGCTTCTCCTCTGGGCAGCATTACTGGGAGGTGGAGGTGGGCCTCAGGAGGTGCTGGTGCGTCGGTGTCACCGCTCACCTCCTCAAATATGAAAACGACCAGTACTTTTGGTGCAGATTTGAGGAGTGCGAGCAGGCGTCGGTCAGCGGAGCGGTGCGTGTGGTGGGCGTGTACCTGGACTGCGACACCCGGAGCGTATCCTTCTACGAGGCGCGCTCCATGAGTCTGCTGCTGGAGCTGCGGGGCCCCTCCATGCTCCTCCCGGTCAACGCCTGTTTTCACGTCACCGCCATCGAGCCGGACATCAACCCCCTCACCATCTGCCAGTACTGAGGGCACCAGGGTTCATCTGAGCCAAAATGTCCTCAGCTCATCACTAGTTTCAACTTAAACCTTCACATGACAAAGCAAAGAAAAGATTTTAGATTTGGCCGGCTCATAACCGGGCAGTCAATTATCAACTTTAAGAATGATTTGTCTGTTCAAAGTTGGGAAAAAGTACTCGAACAATAATTGTCCAGTTAAAAAGTACAGACAAAAACAGGAAAACCATGGATAACGAAGGGACTATTGAAATCTTGTAAAAAGAAAAAATACTTTATCATTTATAGTGAACAGAACTGTTGAGGCAGAAGTAAAATACAAACAAAACAAAAATAAACTAACCGGCATCATGAGGAGAAGTGAACAAGATTATTACATCAAAAATAACTTCATAGAAAGTTTTCATTGGCCCTCATTTATCAAACGTTCATTTATCACACGTTCATTTATCAAAACGTTCATTTATCAAACGTTCATTTATCAAACGTTCATTTATCAAACGTTCATTTATCAAACGTTCATTTATCAAACGTTCATTTATCAAACGTTCATTTATCAAACGTTAATTTATCAAACGTTCATTTATCAAACGTTAATTTATCAAACGTTCATTTATCAAACGTTCATTTATCAAACGTTCATTTATCAAACGTTCATTTATCAAACGTTCATTTATCAAACGTTCATTTATCAAACGTTCATTTATCAAACGTTCATTTATCAAACGTTCATTTATCAAACGTTCATTTATCACACGTTCATTTATCACACGTTCATTTATCACACGTTCATTTATCAAACGTTCATTTATCAAACGTTCATTTATCAAAAGTTCATTTATCAAACGTTCATTTATCACACGTTCATTTATCAAACATTCATTTATCAAACATTCATTTATCACACGTTCATTTATCAAACATTCATTTATCACACGTTCATTTATCAAACGTTCATTTATCAAACGTTCATTTATCAAACGTTCATTTATCAAACATTCATTTATCAAACGTTCATTTATCAAACGTTCATTTATCAAACGTTCATTTATCAAACGTTCATTTATCAAACGTTCATTTATCACACGTTCATTTATCACACGTTCATTTATCAAACATTCATTTATCAAACATTCATTTATCAAACGTTAATTTATCAAACGTTCATTTATCAAACGTTCATTTATCAAACGTTCATTTATCAAACGTTCATTTATCACACGTTCATTTATCAAACATTCATTTATCAAACGTTCATTTATCAAACGTTCATTTATCAAACATTCATTTATCAAACGTTCATTTATCAGACGTTCATTTATCAAACATTCATTTATCACACGTTCATTTATCAAACATTCATTTATCAAACGTTCATTTAGCAAACGTTCATTTATCACACATTCATTTATCAAACGTTCATTTATCAAACGTTCATTTATCAAACATTCATTTATCAAACGTTCATTTATGAAACTTGTGCAGTTTTGCAGGTTGCATATTTTGGGTGTAAACTCCAAATACGCAAGAGCCAATGTGGGATTTATGAACGATTGAGATCCACTTTGGCCCCGAAAATCCCGACTTGTAGCAAGCCCCTGGACCTTTCAACTGAAAAGAATCCAAATTCAATGTGTCTCGCTCCTGTCAATGAGATGGAGGTCCTGGATACCATCAGAAAATGTCGTAATTAGACATTTATGGATGTAGATGACATAAAGGTGAAAACAGGTCAGAGTGTGGCCAATGAGACTCTACATTAGTCATTTCAATGTGGACCATTCCAGGCCAAAATGATAGTGGCTCAGTCATCCCACTCTTCAAAGCTGGGGACAAACATTGTTTTACCACAGGCCAGTCTCGCTATTGCCACAGTTCTCCAAGACTTTCATTCAAGAAAAACTCTTTCATTCAAGAAAAACTCTTTCATTCAAGAAAAACTCTTTCATTCAAGACTGCAACATTTTATTGATAAACATAATTTGTTATCCAATTCTCAATATGGTTTTACACGTAAGAGTTCAGCTCCACTTGCTCTTATTGATCTTCTAGAAGACAGAGGTATCGTGCTACATGGTTACAGAGTTATTGTGCTACATGGTTACAGGGTTATTGTGCTACATGGTTACAGGGTTATTGTGCTACATGGTTACAGGGTTATTGTGCTACATGGTTACAGAGTCATTGTGCTACATGGTTACAGGGTTATTGTGCTACATGGTTACAGGGTTATTGTGCTACATGGTTACATGGTTATTGTGCTACATGGTAACAGAGTTATCGTGCTACATGGTTACAGAGTCATTGTGCTACATGGTTACAGAGTCATTGTGCTACATGGTTACAGAGTTATTGTGCTACATGGTTACAGGGTTATTGTGCTACATGGTTACAGGGTTATTGTGCTACATGGTTACAGGGTTATTGTGCTACATGGTTACAGGGTTATTGTGCTACATGGTTACATGGTTATTGTGCTACATGGTTACAGAGTTATCGTGCTACATGGTTACAGAGTCATTGTGCTACATGGTTACAGAGTCATTGTGCTACATGGTTACAGAGTTATTGTGCTACATGGTTACAGGGTTATTGTGCTACATGGTTACAGAGTTATCGTGCTACATGGTTACAGGGTTATTGTGCTACATGGTTACAGGGTTATTGTGCTACATGGTTACAGAGTTATTGTGCTACATGGTTACAGAGTTATTGTGCTACATGGTTACAGAGTTATCGTGCTACATGGTTACAGAGTTATCGTGCTACATGGTTACATGGTTATTGTGCTACATGGTTATATTATTATGTCTGGGGAGAATTTGGAGCAACTTTTGGGAGAAGTAACTAAATTAAAAACAATCCCAAACTGGTTCAATGCAAATAAATGATCATTAAAACAAAAAACAACTAAAATAATGTTGTTTGGAAACGTGACAAAACTGAACATATTTATTGATGATGTTCTAAACGTGTTCTTGGGTTCGACGCCCCACATTAGTTATTTACGTTCTAAAGTGTGTCGGTGTCATTAAGAAAGGTAGTTATGAACTAAATGTAAACGCACTGCACATATGGTATCACTCACTTGTGATGTCACATTTGAATCATTGTATTGAAGTTTTGGGGAAACTGTTTTAAAACAAACCTATTGCCTTTGATCACACTCCAGAAAAGAGCACTTAGGATTGTTTTTCTACTACACCTGGTTTAGTTCATAAAAATGCTTATTACTACAAATAAGTTGTATTAAAATCTGTAATTAATGTAAAACTTGAGCTCCTTGATTCAGCTGTGTGTGAACGTGCTGAGTAGAGACTTAGCGTGACGCTAGTTCTCCTCCAATCACAGACTGAGGAGCGGCGCTGTTACGAACAGGCCACGCCTCCTCTAGGCCACGCCTCCTCTACCATCTGCGGGTAGCAGATTTGGCTATACCTCCTCTGGCTGAAACTGCAGACACAGCAACACAGCCCAAAGTGAGGAAGAGGAGGAGAGGGAACTAAAGTGAAAAAATGATCAAGGAAGAAACCAAACCCTGAACAGAGCTAGCTTTCATCGTATCCTCTGGAGAGACTGGTCTATGGGAGAGACCTGCGGGACCGCCTCGGACTATCTGGGCTCGGACTATCTGGGCTCGGACTATCTGGGCTCGGACTATGCTCGGACTATCTACGCTTGGACTATCTACGCTCGGACTATCGACGCTCGGACTATCTACGCTCGGACTGTCGACGCTCGGACTGTCTACGCTCGGACTGTCTACGCTCGGACTATCGACGCTCGGACTATCGACGCTCGGACTGTCTACGCTCGGACTGTCGACGCTCGGACTGTCTACGCTCGGACTGTCTACGCTCGGACTGTCTACGCTCGGACTGTCAACGCTCGGACTGTCGACGCTCGGACTGTCTACGCTCGGACTGTCTACGCTCGGACTGTCTACGCTCGGACTGTCTACGCTCGGACTATCGACGCTCGGACTGTCGACGCTCGGACTGTCGACGCTCGGACTGTCGACGCTCGGACTGTCTACGCTCGGACTGTCTACGCTCGGACTATCGACGCTCGGACTGTCGACGCTCGGACTGTCGACGCTCGGACTGTCTACGCTCGGACTGTCTACGCTCGGACTATCGACGCTCGGACTGTCGACGCTCGGACTGTCGACGCTCGGACTGTCGACGCTCGGACTGTCTACGCTCGGACTATCTACGCTCGGACTATCTACGCTCGGACTATCGACGCTCGGACTGTCGACGCTCGGACTGTCGACGCTCGGACTGTCTACGCTCGGACTATCTACGCTCGGACTATCGACGCTCGGACTGTCTACGCTCGGACTGTCGACGCTCGGACTGTCGACGCTCGGACTGTCGACGCTCGGACTGTCGACGCTCGGACTGTCTACGCTCGGACTGTCGACGCTCGGACTGTCGACGCTCGGACTGTCGACGCTCGGACTATCTACGCTCGGACTGTCGACGCTCGGACTATCTACGCTCGGACTATCGACGCTCGGACTGTCTACGCTCGGACTGTCGACGCTCGGACTGTCTACGCTCGGACTGTCGACGCTCGGACTATCGACGCTCGGACTGTCTACGCTCGGACTGTCGACGCTCGGACTGTCGACGCTCGGACTGTCGACGCTCGGACTGTCTACGCTCGGACTGTCTACGCTCGGACTGTCGACGCTCGGACTGTCGACGCTCGGACTGTCGACGCTCGGACTGTCTACGCTCGGACTATCTACGCTCGGACTATCTACGCTCGGACTATCGACGCTCGGACTGTCGACGCTCGGACTGTCGACGCTCGGACTGTCGACGCTCGGACTGTCTACGCTCGGACTGTCGACGCTCGGACTGTCGACGCTCGGACTGTCTACGCTTGGACTATCTACGCTCGGACTATCGACGCTCGGACTGTCTACGCTCGGACTGTCGACGCTCGGACTGTCTACGCTCGGACTGTCGACGCTCGGACTATCGACGCTCGGACTGTCTACGCTCGGACTGTCGACGCTCGGACTGTCGACGCTCGGACTGTCGACGCTCGGACTGTCGACGCTCGGACTGTCTACGCTCGGACTGTCGACGCTCGGACTGTCGACGCTCGGACTGTCGACGCTCGGACTGTCTACGCTCGGACTATCTACGCTCGGACTATCGACGCTCGGACTGTCGACGCTCGGACTGTCGACGCTCGGACTGTCGACGCTCGGACTGTCTACGCTCGGACTATCTACGCTCGGACTATCGACGCTCGGACTGTCTACGCTCGGACTGTCTACGCTCGGACTGTCGACGCTCGGACTGTCGACGCTCGGACTGTCTACGCTCGGACTGTCTACGCTCGGACTGTCTACGCTCGGACTGTCTACGCTCGGACTATCGACGCTCGGACTAACCTGTTGCTTTTGTTCCATTTCATCGGTGATTGCTGTACAGCTCACACAAAGTTGCGTTGATGCTAATGTTAGCATACGTGTCAGATCGCAAATAAAACTAGACGTCTCTGTGTTATGAGAGCGTAGAGGAAATGAGAAGCCTGTGAGCGAGTTGGGGGCGGGGCTAAACATTCAAACTAAAGAAAAACCTTTAAGGATCGGTGTCATATAAAAACACTCTCTTCCAGCAAATGTCCAAAACTTTTTTTGTGACAGAGACACTCACACGTAGATTACACCAACCACGAGTCAGAACAACTTAAATCTGTGTGTGCTTCTGTAAAGGCCGAGTTTGTGGAACGGACTCACCGAGGACTTGACACAGTTCAAAATATATTTCAAAAGTTTGGTGATGGAAAATAACATGATACTCTTATGATAGTGGGAGAGGGGTGTGGGGTCGGTGATTACTGGGCCTGTGTGTGTGTGTGTGTGTGTGTGTGTGTGTGTGTGTGTGTGTGTGTGTGTGTGTGGTGTTGTAGTGATTGATTTATATAAAGCCCGGTTCACACTGAACGACCAACATGGTTAGACCCTTGATTTTGTGTGAGGTCACAATTTTTAAATCGTCTCAAACCAAGCGGACTTTGTATTTTTATTTTCTTGTTTGTAAACACCTGCAGGTTTGATATAAATGAATAAAATGAAAAAAAATAAGTATCAGTGGTCTCTCTCTCTGGTCTCTCTCTCTCTGTTCTCTCTCTCTCTCTAGTCTCTCTCTCTGGTCTCTCTCTCTGGTCTCTCATGTATTTCTGGCCTCTGTCACATCAGATCAGGTCTTTCCATTGGACTAACAACATGAGGTTGTATATGAATATTTTATGTAACCAGGTGGCTCCTGGACTTGGTGGAGGTCTGGGGCCTCCTCTGTCCTCTAGGTCCTGTGGAGGTCTGGCTCCTGGACTTGGTGGAGGTCTGGGGCCTCCTCTGTCCTCTACAGTAATTCCTGTGGAGGTCTAGCTCCTGGACTTGGTGGAGGTCTGGGGCCTCCTCTGTCCTCTAGGTCCTGTGGAGGTCTAGCTCTTGGACTTGGTGGAGGTCTGGGGCCTCCTCGGTCCTCTAGGTCCTGTGGAGTTCTAGCTCCTGGACTTGGTGGAGGTCTGGGGCCTCCTCTGTCCTCTAGGTGCTGTGGAGGTCTGGGGCCTCCTCTGTCCTCTATGGCGATGGCTCTCTGCTCCTGGTGCAGCCCAGCCCACGATCAGCAGGATGAGGCTGAAGCAACAGGCCACTGTGAAGGAGAACAAGGTTTAGAAGGAAATCCAGGAGGAGACCAGGGCTTAGAAGGAGATCCAGGAGGAGACCAGGGCTTAGAAGGAGATCCAGGAGGAGACCAGGGCTTAGAACGAGATCCAGGAGGAGACCAGGGCTTAGAAGGAGATCCAGGAGGAGACCAGGGCTTAGAAGGAGATCCAGGAGGAGACCAGGGCTTAGAAAGCAGACTAGAAACATGAACTGCTAATGGCTCTTCTTTCCCATTCAAAATTAACAGGATGTTGAAAAAGTCTTGATTGAATTGAGTTATATCCGTTCTATGCCTTTGTCCATGATTATAAAAGCACTTTACCACTTTTAGTCTTCATCAGAACCTTTGGCTTGGGCTTTAAAAATTCCAAAGGAATATTTCCGATGTTAGCAGATCAGGAGTTTAAACTAAACACATTCTGCCGACACAAACCCTCCCCCGTCGATCCAACACCAACCAATGTATTTGGAAAAAGCTCTGGAACCCCTTAAGCTCGCGCAAACGAGAAAAAAAGTAATTCTGCTGGCAATAGCAGATATATTTCGAACTTCATAAACCACAAGCTATATATCATTTTAAAGCTTATTTTCTCAGCTATATTTATATGTAAGTGTGAACGATAACTTTGCATTAAAAAGATATAAAGCATAATATGGGCACAAAATAAATCATCTTTACCTTTTGTCTTCTGCTGCTCCAACAAATTAGACTTTCCCCGTCCTTGCTCAGTCTCTTTCTCTCCATAAGTCTTCATTGAAAAAGAATATCCACTTGTATTTCCCAAAGTATAATCCATTCTTCAGAAATAATCCAAAAATGTGCATTTTTCTGTTGCAAAAAAAAAAATGCTCCAAAAAAATGTTCAGGCTTCTCTTTTACATTTCACCAAGTTTGGGCTTTGTTTAGCCACAAACATATCCACGTGTTCCTTGAGTCCTTAGCTTCAAAAAGAGAGGTTCCATGAAAAGATCGGAGCAGTTTTCAGTCCGCAGGACCCTTGTGAAAAACTTTACACAGTTGTCGTCAACAACACAATAAACAAATTAGCGTTGGAAATGTTCTTCTTCCAATGAAGTCGGCTTTTTTAGGGCATTTATACATTGGGTTTTTTTAGGGGAGGCTAAAAAAAAAAAAACAGGTTTTTTCCCAAAATTCAAAGGATGCAGAGTAAAATAGGAATGACATACATTATTTTAGTATATATTTACATAAACTAGAAGGGCCTAGCTTTAAAATGATGCATCACACAAGCATGTGAGATGTAAGATGTGTTTTTAAATAAGCAAAGACATTTGGGTATGACAAACTTTTGTGTACGAGCCAAAACAGATGTAGGAGTTTAAGAGGTTAAAGTAAAATATGCAAAAAAAAGTAAAATATTCCCCGCGGGCAGATACACAGGTTGGTACACAGAAGTCACATGACAAAAACAGACCGCTTTCTCTAAAAACTTTATTTGCAAAAGAAAAAACATTGAACCACAATTTGTTGCTTAAACATTAAAAGTTGTTGCTGGTTTTGTTGCAGCTTCATATCAGTAAAATCCGTGTGGAGCAAATTTAAAAATCAGATCAGAAAGTCCATCAGTCCTGGGGTCAGTGTCTAGAGTGTTTAAAATACACATATCTGATGCAGTCACACATAAAATCAGTGTTAAGAAAACTTTAGAGGACCAAGAACTAGCCCCTGGTGTCCAAGGCTACAACCATGTGACATTAACCAGGTGTCACCTCCACCACAGTGAATATTAGAACCAAAAACAGTCGGCTGAAGGATCTCAGGCAGAACTTGAGGTTTTGGTTTTGACTGAAACTTTGATTTGTGGTACCACCGTGTCTTCACCAGAACCAAGTCCACAGAATCCTGCAAAACTCAACCCAAACAAGTACCATGAGTTTGTGATTTGGTGAAATGGAAAAATACTTTCTAAAGACTGTATTTTTCGCAACAACGATCACTACCGTCTGCTACGTCTCCCAGCCCTGTCCTTCCCCCCGACCCCTCCCCTCATCCATGGTGCCTCCCCTTGTCCCTCCTACCCCTCTCCCTTCCCCACCTTCCCTCATCATCCCTCCCCTTCTCTCCCCATCCCCATCCTGTCCTCCCTCATGTAGCCTCCCCCAGTGTGTCGGCCCCCTCCTCGACCGCGGGGGGCTCGGCTCCGCAGACTCTGGGGCAGGTGCAGCAGTCGTTGGGCAGACAGATTTTGTGGAGACAGGTCTTCATACGCCTCAGCGCACACCGGTCCCCAAATGTTGAGGAGGAAGACCATGGGCAGCCTCAGCACACGCCCGGCCACGAAGTCCTTGTCCAAGTGAGAGCGGATCACCCCCTGCAGGTCAGAGGTCAGAGGTCACCACCGGGAAACTTACAACGGAGACCAAAAGATTGATTCCCATCGAACGTAGCATCACGTGACGTGATGCGGGGAAGGGAGGGTTCAGATTAACGGGCATAAACCAAAAATTGTCCAAATCGAACGTTTGCTGATTATAGGAAATCAAACTGATGCTGTTCAAACACTTCAAAATCCCAAAACAGTTGATTTTTAAATCTTCATTTCAAAAGTTAAGAACTTAAAGGGGATTAGAGTCTAGTATTGGGCCAACCTTTATATTTCTCTAATCTACAGAAATTCTTCATGTAGGGATTGTAATTTAACCAGCCGGTCTTTCGATGCCCAGTGGCCCCATTGGCTCGCTGTGCCTCACTCACTGCAGACAGCGCCCTCTAGTGGTCCTGATGATGAACGCAGCAGGTACAGTGACTAATGACTGATTCTCCTGCAAAGGTTTGCGACACAGACAAACACTGACACAGACACTTACGGGGATGAGGGTGTGTGTGTAGAGGTGCAGCAGCAGCAGCAGCAGGTGCCTGATACGTCTCGACTGCAGCAGGCTGTAGACTCTCATTGCCACCATCAGAGCTCCGAGGACCATCTCCATCTGAAGAGTCACCATCACAGAAGTGTAGGACAACCATGTGTGTCGCTCCGGAGTCAAGTGTCTACACACCCAGAACCAGACGGACACCAGCACCTGCACAGGCACATCCCTTCTGCTCAAACACTGCTCGTTCCAACTCCTTACACTGCTACAAAACATACTAAAACATTGTTTTTGCTCTCGTTTAAGCCAGGTTCTAGTAAAAGGCAAGATCAGCGGCACAGAAGTCACATGACAACATCATCAGTTCTTACATAAAATAGAGAGTCCCTGATGGGAATGGTTCAGTACAACTCTTTACTATAGACTGTCGGGAGTGTGACATCACCACAGTGTGTGACATCACCACAGTGGATTATGGACTAATGGTTGCATTTCTTGTGTCCAGTCCTCAGAGAAATACTGCTGTGACTTTGGACGATACAAACATAAATGGAATTGAACCAGAATGTGACCTTGACGTGAAGCAGATTTCAACAGAAGCTGGAGCCAGTTTCTTTATCTGGGCATTTGTTCCACAGCGATAGCAAGACTTTTGCCCACAATGTGCACCAAGCCAAGACAAGCTGGAGTTTCCCCCCACAAATGAAGGCCTCTGATTGTAAATCCAGATAGAAGGATTGACCAAAGACATCACAAACTAAACAGCAGGATCCCAGAGAGCACAAATCCACAGACTTAAGACCAAAATGGTTAGTGTGACACAACGTTACTGAGCAAGGGACTTTTTTTTATTTTAAGTTGATTGGAGCCAGATAGAGGAGCCAAACTTCACGGTGAGCACTTCCCTATTGGGCTTCATTGAGCTAGCAGGTTAGCATTATCCATCTGTATACAGTTTGTGTTTTTACCTTCAACACGAGGAGGAGACTGAAGGCCGTTGCCGTGAGCAACCAGACGTCCCAATCGTAGAGCTGCCAGAACACCAGCATCACATGAACAGGAAAGTACAGCATCAAACCAGACACGACTAACGCAGGGACCAGGAGGTGCTGGCTCTGTCCTAAACCCAGGAGCACCACATGCACCGAGCAGTGCACACCAGCGAGGCCGAGGACCAGCAGTAGGTACATGTTCTGGAGGAGACGCTCCTACAGACAACCAGCAAACAACAGTCACCGTTCAGACGACTCTGCCACGGCCTCCCACCACAGCCCCTTCACACAGCCCCTCACCATGACCCACGTTCTGGTCATTTAGACCCCAAGTTTCGGGTTTCCCCCCCAAGCCTCCACCCCCTAGTTATGGTCACATCGCTCACTGGAGTAAACAGAACGACACTCTGGAGATGAAACCACACAAACACATGCGCACACACACACCAACAGTGTTCCATTGCACTTATACTATATGTATAGTGTATTCACTTTGCTTTATTGTCATGTATAAAATATCGTAATGTTGTTCTGTCACTTACTGTTTTTGACATGAATATAGCGCCACCTAATGGATGAATACGGGTCCTTCTGTACGGGATAGTTTGTCATAGGCTCTACTTTCAATATATAAATGTTTACATTTTTTCAATGAGTACTTTGTGGATGTGGATGCCATAAAACATATTGCATCAAAAATACTTTCTCATAACTTGTTGCCGTTTTCTAGAATGTAAGATCCTGGACATGTTTGAGGAGATGCTAAAGTTAACCAGAATAGTGTTAGTCACTTTTCTGCAGGTTCGTCTGTTTTCACAAAAGCCTCATTTTCTCAACTTTTTGTCTAAAACTGGTGATTTCTGTCAAACTTCCCTCTTTTCGACAGATTACAGAAGAACGGAACAAGCTAGAAATAAACTTTCTAATTCCAGTCTTTCAGAATCCATGTGAAATTGTCATAATAGAAAATATTCTGCGAGTCTTATAAATCTGAAGAAAAAAAGTACTGGCAGGAAATGAGTTAAGAACCATGTGTTTCCCACCAGCGGCAGAGCACAGAGCGTTACGGCTGGACAGTGCACTCACCAGTCTCTGCGTGGGCTCCAGGTCCCAGAGTCCAAACTGCAGACCCAGGATCCAGAGGACGGAGAGTTCTTTGACAAACACCCCATAAACGTCTGAAACCAGACATTTGAAGTCAACCATCGAGACACACCCGACATCACCACAGTGTCAGCCTTAATGTGTTAGAAGCTGTTTTAAAAGAACTCTTTGTAACAATGGGAGAAAATGTCAATCTCTGTTGCATGGAAGGCCAAACAAAAACTACCCTGGAGCAGTTCAGGACCATTTCAACAGAGGAACTACACTCACTGGTCTCTTTATTAGGTAGACCTCGCTAGTACCGGGTTGGACCCTTTTCCTTCAAAACTGTCTTAATCCTTTGTGGCCTAGATTCAACAAGGTCCTGGACACATTCCTCAGAGTTTGGTCCATATATGGTGCAGTTTGTGCAGATTTGTCGGCTGCACATCCATGAAGCTCCTGTTCCATCCCAAAGTGTCTCTATTGGACTGAGATCCGTGACTGTGGAGGCCACTACAGAACATGACCATGTCTACTCAATGCATTGAGTTGCTGCCATGTGATTGGCTGATTAGGAATTTGCATTAAAGTGGAGTTGGAAAGATGTACCTAATAAAGTGGCCGGTGAGTCTACTGTATATTTATATGGAGATCTCTCTCCCCGGCCGGTGTCCCCAACTCCTTCCCTAGTCGCTCAGCCGGTCTCCGCAACTTCTGCCCCGGTAGAAGGGAGGGAGTTGAGACCCACCGACCGACTGGGGAGGGAGTTGGGGGAATATTAAAATAAAGCATGTTACTGTAGAGATGCTTCTCTAAAGACATTGCCACAAATGCGATGACTGCGTTCATTCCCAACACGGCGATCACAGACTCAGAGCTGGAGACCAGGAGGGTAGACAAGACATTACTGAGGGCCGCCCAGCTGCAGCCCTCACCCTGAGGAGCACACAGAGGCTGAGGTCAGAGGTCACACACACCACACAGAGGGTGTTTCTGCCGCTTTGTTGAAACAAATACAAGTAATACCCTTTCACTTATGAGGTGAGAAAACTAGTGTCAGTGTGTGCAGCGCCCCCTACGGCAATGCAATAAAGACTGCACTTCTTTAGGGTTGTGAGGTCTTTATGTCTAGTTATCACACTTGTTTAATGATGGTGCTCTTGTACTGGTCCTACAGGTCTCTGATGGTGCTCTTGTACTGGTCCTACACGTCTCTGATGTAGAGAGTGGTGTATGTAAATGTACATGTCTGTGTAAAGCATGTGTGCTGCTCAACCCTAACCCACGACCTGTAGCGCCCCCTACCTGCAGGCCATGCAGAAGGATCAGAGCTTTGGCCAAAACTCTGACAATCCAGTAGCTACTCCAGACCTCCAAGAGCAGCATTAGGTTGAAACGGTCATGATTGTACCTGGACAGAGGAGGAGACCGGGGCTTAAAGGACAAATTAAAATGACAGGTATAAATTCTGTCAGAGTGTAAGCTGTGTTCCAATTATCGTGGGATCACACTCCTCAGCCTGCCCGGTAAGGTCTACTCCAAGGAACTGGAGAGGAGACTTCGTCCGATGGTCTTTTGGGTGGGGTTCTCCGGGAGTACGGGTCCAGGGTTCTCTGCTGTGGTTCATTAGGTCCCAGTATGATCAGAGCCAGAGCTGCGTTCGCACAAGTCAGACCTGTTCCCGGTGAGATGAGGTGGCTCATCTGTTCCGGATGCCTCCTGGACGCCCCCCTGGGGAGGTGTTCCGGGCACGTCCTACGCGGAGGAGGTCCCGGGGAAGACCCAGGGCACGCTGGAGGGACTGCCTCTCAGCTGACCTGGGAACGCCTTGGGGTCCCCCCGGATGAGCTGGAGGAAGTGTGTGGATAGGGAAGTCTGGGCGTCTCTGCTTAGACTGCTGACCCCACGACCCGGCAACGGATGAAACGGAAGAAAATGGGATATATATCCTTGGCTCACCAATAGCTGTGGTTCTTCATGAAACATATGTAGTCTAACGTGAGTAGGATCAGGACCGGGATCATTAAGAAGAAGACCAGCTGAGGCAGAAGAGGAATACCCAGGTACTGGTGAAGCACAGGAACCACCATCCCCAGCAGAATCCCGAAGGGGCTCACTCTGTCCACTATGATCGTGATACAGAAAATCAGGCCCAGGAACAGCTGCACCAGGCCCAGACACGGCCACACCCAGCCGGGGGCCAGGTTTACGTGGAGGTCCCAGACAAATAACACAAAGTAGTTCAAGACCACAGAGACACAGGCTACGGCCATGCCCATGTCCAGCAGGAGGAGCTCCACCACAACAGACGGACAGAGCAGGATGAGGCTGAAGCAAAAGGCCACTGTGGAGGAGAACAAGGTTTAGAAGGAGATCCAGGAGGAGACCAGGGCTTGGAGGAGGAGGAGACCAAAGACTAAATAACATGGACTGCTGATGGCCCATCTTTCCCATTCAAACTAAAAGAATTGAACATTTCCTGGCTCTAAAACTGTCTAGATCAGCTTCTCTGAACCAGATCAGAGAAACTGGGATGAACCAAAGCAGACTCTGGGTTAGCGCATCACCTGCTGCTGTCAAACTTTATTACTATTTTAAACTTTCATAATTATGTAACTATGTGTTTGTTTCGATTAATGTGTTTCTGCTGCTGGACACCCAAATTTCTCCTACAGGAATCAAAAAATCTATCTCCCACTCTCCCCATACTCACCCCCAGTCTGCAGCGGCATCAGGGCCCAGCCCCACAGTCCTGCTGTGAAGACACTCATCAGGGATTCCATTGCCAACAGCAGCAGCATCTGTCCGAGCCAGCTCAGACAGTGGAACATGGGCTCTGTCATCCATCCGTACCGCCGTAAGGTCTCAAGGACCGAGCATCTATCTAAAAAACTTCTGCAAAAAACTTGCCCGACATTATCCATCTCCAGGTCGCACACTTTACTTCTGCCACAAACAAAGGTTGGTTAAAAAAATACAATGTTCCTTTTCCTGCATCAGAGGAGTCAACACACAAACCCAAACACACAGACACAGGTGAAGACACTCAGCTCGTCAGACACGCATGCACGCACACACGCATGCACACACACACACGCATGCACACACAGGTGAAGACACTCAGCTCATCAGGAGCACACACACACACACACACACACACACACACACACACACACACACACACACACACACACACACACACACACACACACACACACACACACACACACACACACACACACACACACACACACACACACACACACACACACACACACACACACACACACACTGCTGACTTTAGTGTTTAATGGCAGTTGTCTTTCCTCTGATGCAGGAGTCTGTTGGACAGTTAGTGTCTAACAAATGGACTGTGAGGATCCAGGCCACATAAACATTCTACATGTATGACATTTATGAACATGTGAAATTTATCAACATGTACGACATTTATTAGCCTGGCCTTATCCATCCGTACACTCTGCTCAATCATCATTTCACTGCATGTAGCGTCTGGGTCTGGTCCCTGTGTTAGCGAATACAATCGGTCGTATTTTGACCGGCTACTCAGAGAGTGCGGAAGGCGGGTGTTGTAGGTCGGTGCCGGTGACGTCAAGAGTTTGCACCGAACGGGCAGGTTGTGGTTTGGCAGTGGCGAAGAATGCGATAGTAAAGTAATCCGGTCTGGTTCTATCAAGAAAATAAAGCAGGAGCAAGAGGAATGTTTAGCAAATGCAATCGCTGGTAAAGATTGTGGCGCTACTCCCCACGGGCTCCATTAGCAGCAAGGGAGATGGCTAAAGCTAGGCTAAATGCTAATAACACACTCCAGCGCATTACATACGTCGCAGTAAACTCAGATCCAATCGTTTCAATCTGCAAAAAGGGGTTAACCCCTCCCACCTGTTAACGGAGTCAAAGGAGCAAATCCAGACCTTAGTATACAATGAAATTTGTACTATGGTGTGGTACAACCAGGCTAGACATTTATCAACATGTGAAATTTATCAACACATATGACATTTATCAACACGTATGACATTTATCAACACGAATGACATTTATCAACATGTGTGACATTTATCAACACGTATGACATTTATCAACACGTATGACATTTATCAACATGTACGACATTTATCAAACAGTATGACATTTATCAACATGTACGACATTTATCAACATGTATGACATTTATCATGTATGACATTTATCAACATGTATGACATTTATCATGTATGACATTTATCATGTATGACATTTATCAACACATGTGACATTTATCAACACATGTGACATTTATCAACACATGTGACATTTATCAACACATGTGACATTTATCAACACATGTGACATTTATCAACATGTATGACATTTAACAACACGTGTGATATTTATCAACATGTATGACATTTAACAACACGTGTGACATTTATCAACACGTGTAACATTTATCAACATGTGTGACATTTATCAACATGTGTGACATTTATCAACACGTGTAACATTTATCAACACGTATGACATTTAACAACACGTGTGACATTTATCAACATGTATGACATTTAACAACACGTGTGACATTTATCAACACGTGTAACATTTATCAACACGTATGACATTTAACAACACGTGTGACATTTATCAACACGTGTAACATTTATCAACATGTGTAACATTTATCAACATGTGTGACATTTATCAACATGTGTGACATTTATCATGTAAGACATTTATCAACACGTATGACATTTATCAACACGTATGACATTTATCAACATGTATGACATTTAACAACATGTGTGACATTTATCAACATGTATGACATTTAACAACACGTGTGACATTTATCAACATGTATGACATTTAACAACACGTGTGACATTTATCAACACGTGTAACATTTATCAACATGTGTGACATTTATCAACATGTGACATTTATCATGTAAGACATTTATCAACACGTATGACATTTATCAACACGTATGACATTTATCAACACGTATGACATTTATCAACACGTATGACATTTATCAACACGTATGACATTTAACAACACGTGTGACATTTATCAACATGTATGACATTTAACAACATGTACGACATTTAACAACACGTATGACATTTATCAACACGTATGACATTTATCAACATGTATGACATTTAACAACACGTGTGACATTTATCAACATGTATGACATTTAACAACATGTATGACATTTATCAACACATGTAACATTCATCAACATGTATGACATTTATAAATATGTATGACATTTATCAACACGTGTAACATTTATCAACACGTGTAACATTTATCAACATGTGTGACATTTATCAACATGTGAAATTTATCATGTATGACATTTATCATCATGTATGACATTTATTAACATGTATGACATTTATCAACATGTATGACATTTAAAAACACGTGTGACATTTAACAACACCTATGACATTTATCAACACGAATGACATTAATCAACACGTATGACATTTAACAACACGTGTGACATTTATCAACACGTATGACATGTATCAACACGTATGACATTTAACAAAACGTATGACATTTATCAACACGTATGACATTTATCAACATGTATGACATTTAACAACACGTATGACATTTAACAACACGTATGACATTTATCAACATGTGTGACATTTATCATGTATGACATTTATAAACATGTATGACATTTATCAACATGTATGACATTTATCAACACATGTAACATTTATCAATATGTATGACATTTATAAACATGTATGACATTTATAAATATGTATGACATTTATCAACACGTGTAACATTTATCAACACGTGTAACATTTATCAACATGTGTGACATTTATCAACACGTGTAACATTTATCAACATGTGTGACATTTATCAACATGTGACATTTATCATGTATGACATTTATCATCATGTATGACATTTATCAACATGTGTGACATTTATTAACATGTATGACATTTATCAACATCTGTGATATTTATCAACATGTATGAATTTTAAAAACATGTGTGACATTTAACAACACATATGACATTTATCAACACGTGTGACATTTATCAACACGTATGACATTAATAAACACGTATGACATTTAACAACACCTATGACATTTATCAACACGTATGACATTTATCAACATGTATGACATTTATCAACATGTGTGATATTTATCAACATGTATGACATTTATCAACATGTATGACATTTATCAACATGTATGACATTTATTAACATGTATGACATTTATCAACACATGTGACATTTATCAACACATGTGACATTTATCAACACATGTGACATTTATCAACATGTGTGACATTTATCATGTATGACATCTATCAACATGTGTGACATTTATCAACATGTGTGACATTTATCAACATGTGTGACATTTATCATGTAAGACATTTATCAACACGTGTGACATTTATCAACACGTATGACATTTATCAACACGTATGACATTTATCAACACGTATGACATTTATCAACATGTATGACATTTAACAACACGTGTGACATTTATCAACATGTATGACATTTATCAACATGTATGACATTTAACAACACGTGTGACATTTATCAACACGTGTAACATTTATCAACATGTGTGACATTTATCAACATGTGACATTTATCATGTATGACATTTATCAACACGTGTAACATTTAACAACATGTGACATTTATTAACATGTATGACACTATTCTAAGTGTCTATGACTAAGTACTATTCAACTTATGACACTAATGAACTTGTATGACATTTATCAACATGTATGACATTTAACAACACGTGTGACATTTATCAACACGTATGACATGTATCAACACGTATGACATTTAACAACACGTATGAAATTTATCAACATGTATGACATTTATCAACACGTATGACATGTATCAACACGTATGACATTTAACAACACGTATGACATTTATCAACACGTATGACATTTATCAACACGTATGACATTTATCAACATGTGTGACATTTATCAACATGTGTGACATTTATCATGTATGACATTTATAAACATGTATGACATTTAACAACACGTATGAAATTTATCAACATGTATGACATTTATCAACACGTATGACATGTATCAACACGTATGACATTTAACAACACGTATGACATTTATCAACACGTATGACATTTATCAACACGTATGACATTTAACAACACGTATGACATTTATCAACATGTGTGACATTTATTATGTATGACATTTATAAACATGTATGACATTTATCAATATGTATGACATTTGTCAACACGTTTAACATTTATAAACATGTATGACATTTATCAACATGTATGACATTTATAAACAAGTATGACATTTATAAACATGTATGACATTTATCAACACATGTAACATTCATCAACATGTATGACATTTATAAATATGTATGACATTTATCAACACGTGTAACATTTATCAACATGTGTGACATTTATCAACATGTGACATTTATCATGTATGACATTTATCATCATGTATGACATTTATTAACATGTGTGACATTTATTAACATGTATGACACTATTCAACTTATGACACTAATGAACTTGTATGACATTTATCAACATGTATGACATTTAAAAACACGTGTGACATTTAACAACACCTATGACATTTATCAACACGAATGACATTAATCAACACGTATGACATTTAACAACACGTGTGACATTTATCAACACGTATGACATGTATCAACACGTATGACATTTAACAACACGTATGACATTTATCAACACGTATGACATTTATCAACATGTATGACATTTAACAACACGTAT